GTATTGGAGTTCGAGGTAAAGAAGCTAATTATGAAAGCTGTCTTGGTTCAATAGATAAATAGAGAGGAATACGCGAGTTTACGATCTGCATACATCTATATTCAGTAGTGTATTTTTGTGTTAGGTTTGTCAATATCGCACCAATCAGATGACTTCAAATTATTTTGCGTCTTGTTTGAAAATTTGAGAATACTTATAATATAAATTCTAAAATGGTAGAATCTCTATGTTGTATAAACACAATGTGAAACATAAACAACACGGAACACGAACGCGGTTTACGTTCCTTACATTCGTGTTTTTTGTTTTTATTTTGTTTCCATTTTTGATACATAAGTTTATTTTGAATAGCTAATTTGTTTTGATAAAAATTTTTGTACATGTTGTTTTATGGAATTTTTTGTATATAAAGGCATGAAAAATTCCTTGGTGAACATTATAATCCAAATAATACTTTTATATTAAAAAGAACTTTAGCTTTAATAATGTATTTTTTGCAAACCAAAAGAATTTAAACACTTTTAATCTGAAGAAAATTCAACAGCATCAGGGTGTAGGGGGAGTTTTCCACACATGTGATCATCTGATCATCATCTTTGGTCCAATTAGTCCAGAAAATGTAACTTAGAATATCCATATCGATATCGATATGTGTTAAGTATATGCGTTAATTATGTGTTAAAAAATAATAATGAATTTTATAATAATACATTGTTCTACGTATAAAGTTACTAAACTGGCTGCATTATTGTTAAAAGACTTGGGTAATTTTACTAAAAGCTAAAAAAAAACTTTAACAAAGTTTATTGTGTTTTATAAACTACAATAGCAAGATCCAACTACATATAACCTTAAATAATATAAAATATAAAGGATCTTATATGTTTTATTGTGAAAGTAAAGTCTATATTTCTTGTTTTTTTTATTGCAAAAAATAAGTTCATGGTTCTTATATTTTATTGCAAAAATAAAGTTCATGGTTTTGATCCATGCCATATTTGACTTCGTAGTCATCTATGCTGTGCTGTTTCAATGTCATCTAGCATTATAAATAGATGGTCTAAATTATCAACAACTCTTGTAATATGTTACAAGTTATTGGTTGCAAGTTCTTGTTCAAGGTGTTCTGCTATATGTTGCATAGCTGCTACTTTGAGTTCACAAACATGCTGTGTATCTAAGTCAGAAATATTACTATCTTCATCTGTTTCAAAAAACTTACCACTCAAAATTTCAGACTGTGAAATTGAAAACTGAGGCATACTTATTTCTTCAAATATACTTTGTAAATTTTTGGTATCATATACAAGAAAGGGATAATCTTCACGTTACTAAAAATTTTTGTATAGTAATTGAATATCTTGTGAATCAGTTAATCTTACTTTATCAACAGTATGATGAACCAGATGCTTACAAAGAAAAAATTGACTACAAAGAAATGTATGACAACTACAAATCCAACGATTTAAGTCTACAAAATAACATTCTCCATCACTATCAGAAATTGGTCTCATTATAAGTTGCTTTCAATTATTTTTGAATTCATTAAACCAAGAGAGTACTATTCATTCCAAATGTATTTAATTAAATCGAATAATTTGATCAGAAACAACATGTGTACAAATAATCCAAAAAAGGTAGTCCAATTGTAGTTTATTGAATCTGTAAAGATAACAATACTTAAGAACCCTTCAATGGGATTCAACAAGCATGTTAGTTTTACATAATAAAATTGTAATTCATACTGAACAGACCCAGAGCACCCATCTTATTATTTTATACTATGACTGCCACATATATGCCTAGAGTAAAATAAGCTTATTCTTAACACAAAATTCATAAATTTCACGAACTGCATTTCTTTGAATTTTATTAGTTATAAGAAATTGTCCTATAGCATTAATTGGAATTTTTGGATACATATTAAAATGCTTCCTAACCATATTAATAACCTTGTCTCATAAGTGTAATGGACATATAGCATAGTACTTGGGCTCAGTGTGTTCAAAATCAGGTTTAAATGCAGAATCAATAAAATCAAACTCTACTATTGTATCATCTGACTGATATTGACTATGATAGATTCATTTATGACTTTTAAGTTTTTCTCTAATAGCCTTTACCATATTATATATTAATAAACAAGAATAGTCAATAGTATATATATTAAACAAAAAAAAATCATTATTATTCAAAATTTTAATATATGTATATAATATTGTATATCAAATATAAAAGTTATAAAATATTTATAAATAGCCAAAAAAAATTATAAATAATAATAATAATACTAATCTTCTCTATATACTATAAACAGAATTGTATATCAACATAAAACCATACTTCTTTCACAGTATTGATTTCTGAGAAATCTTTGTCAGTATAAAAGTATCATGGTTGTAATTCTTTATCACAAAGTGAATTAAAAAAACCAGTGTTATTATTTGTAACTCTGATTGTTCCTCATTATTTTGTACTTTTGTAGAATTTAAAGTAAGATAAGCTATGGGAAAACCTGTTCCCTCAAAATTTTCAATAATCCCATAGAGTTTAAAATGGCCTTTGGCTGTTTTGTAAGTTGCATCACAGTGCACACCTGATAATGATAGCAATTTGAAAAATAAAAGAGTCACAAATTCAATAGCTGTAACTATATTAGTGTTCCAATTAAAACAAAACTTATTGCCTTTAGTATTAGGCCCTTTAAAAAAGTTGTGAGTAGAAATTATATGATCATCATCTGATTTATATAAATGTTAACAATATGTTGACCACCAATAATGTATTTGTTTGTTAGTAGTAAATAAAATATTGAATTTTTGATGAAGATGTATTCATAATTGTATGGGATCTAAGTGAAGGTTTTGTATAATCTTGTGTTTTACTTCTAAAGATGTTGTTACATCAATAGGTTTCTCATGTTGAATATTATGCTAAAACTTCACTATTGCCTCTTTCGCTGTTATATCAATATGAATTATTAGTTTATCATGACAATCAAAGCGTACAATTCTTTTTCGATTAGATTCTTTATGTTCATACTCAAATTCTTGACATTGTAAGCATAAAAGGTAAAATAAACCAACACCATTGTAGTGTAATGACATTTCAGATCCAGTTATAAAAACTCAATCATATTCATCAAATCCTTCAATTTCGTCTACTATTAATTTTACAGTATTTTTTGCATCTTGATATGCAGTATTCAATACAAGATTATCAAGTTCGATATAAAGATTGAAAGATAATATATCATTTACTCCAAGATTAGCTTCCTTATTAGAAATATACTCAATAATTTTAGTAAAAGAAACACGATCATAAACCAATTCATCATTTTCATACTCAATATTATCAGATGAAGATTGTTTTTTTAATTTTCTCTTTTTTGATCTTGTGTCTAAGCAATTGAAACAAGTTTTATTAATTTTGCCTTTATAAATAAAGGCTTCTGCAGGAAAGTAATTATTACAAGTAGTACAGTAATCCATACAAAAAAAGAAAATAATACTATGAACAGCAAAAGTATGCTTAAATTTACAAAATAGAAGTAAATAAATATGTCTCAATTGATTTATTAAATGAAAAATATTTTTTTTTACTTGATTAATTAAATGAAATATATTAGTAATATCGATATGACCATATGATGATTGATGATCAGATCAAAGATTGATCTGAGGTCCAGAATCACATGTGCGGACAATTCCCTCTATGTGCTGTGTTTTTCAGAAAATTCAAAGAAGACCTGAAGAAAAATCTTGAAAATTTAAAAATATTTTATTAACAGATAAGTATATTTATAATATAATTTTAAAATTTATAAAATTTTAATATATAAACATTGTAAAATATTTATATGTATTATTTTTTTTATTTTTAATATAACAGTAAATTTTGGATTAAAAGTGTTTAAATTCTTACTGGTTGCAAAATTAATATTTTTTTATTTAAAGTTATTATATTTAAAATTCTTTTTATAATATAAATTTTTCTTTGAATTATCAATTTGGCATGCCAAAATTAATAGAAAACAATCAAAGTTATTTTTTTTTATAATAAATATATATTGGCAAAGATTTTTTTTACTATATAAAAAATTAATCTTGCTATAGTGAACCTCATTAGTAATTTACAAAAAAAAATTAATAGTGAACAAAATCTTAAAGCCTAATAATTTTATTATAATTAAAGTAACTTATAATAGTAAATTTACTATTAATTAAGAGGTTCACTATAACAAGAACATTATTAT